TTCTTGTTTGTTTCACATTAGAAAATATTTTGTATCTTCAAAGTTTTAGGCATGTTGTGTAAATCAAATGATTAAAAAAATCCATTTTAATTCCAGGTTGTAAGGCAACAAAATTGGAAAAATGCCAAGGGGGGTGAATATTTTCGCAAGCCACTGTATGTATGTATGTATGTATGTATGTATGTATGTATGTATGTACACATACAGTATCTCACAAAAGTGAGTACACCCCTCACATTTTTGTAAATATTTGAGTATATCTTTTCATGTTCAACACTGAAGAAATGACACTTTGCTACAAAGTAGTGAGGGTACAGCTTGTATAACAGTGTAAATTTGCTGTCCCCTCAAAATAACACAACACACAGCCATTAATGTCTAAACTGCTGGTACACCCCTAAGTGAAAATGTCCAAATTGGGCCCAAAGTGTCAATATTTTGTGTGGCCACCATAATTTTCCAGCACTGCCTTAACCCTCTTGGGCATGGAGTTCACCAGAGCTTCACAGGTTGCCACTGGATTCCTCTTCCACTCCTCCATGACGACATCACGGAGCTGGTGGATGTTAGAGACCTTGCACTCCTCCACCTTCCGTTTGAGGATGCCCCACAGATGCTCAATAGGGTTTAGGTCTGGAGACATGCTTGACCAGTCCATCACCTTTACCCTCAGCTTCTTTAGCAAGGCAGTGGTGGTCTTGGAGGTGTGTTTGGGGTCGTTATCATTGGAATACTGCCCTGCGGCCCAGTCTCCGAAGGAAGGGGATCATACTTTGCTTCAGTACGTCACAGTACATGTTGGCATTCATGGTTCCCTCAATGAACTGTAGCTCCCCAGTGCCGGAAGCACTCATGCAGCCCCAGACCATGACACTCCCACCACCATGCATGACTGTAGGCAAGACACACTTGTCTTTGTACTCCTCACCTGGTTGCCGACACACACGCTTGACACCATCTGAACCAAATAAGTTTATTGGTCTCATCAGACCACAGGACATGGTTCCAGTAATCCATGTCCTTAGTCTGCTTGTCTTCAGCAAACTGTTTGCGGGGTTTCTTGTGCAACATCTTTAGAAGAGGCTTCCTTCTGGGACGACAGCCATGCAGACCAATTTGATGCAGTGTGCGGCATATGGTCTGAGCACTGACAGGCTGACCCCCCACCCCTTCAACCTCTGCAACAATGCTGGCAGCACTCATACGTCTATTTCCCAAAGACAACCTCTGGATATGACGCTGAGCACGTGCACTCAACTTCTTTGGTCGACCATGGCGAGGCCTGTTCTGAGTGGAACCGGTCCTGTTAAACCACTGCATGGTCTTGGCCACCGTGCTGCAGCTCAGTTTCAGGGTCTTGGCAATCTTCTTATAGCCCAGGCCATCTTTATGTAGAGCAACAATTCTTTTTTCTGATCCTCAGAGTTCTTTGCCATGAGGTGCCATGTTGAACTTCCAGTGACCAGTATGAGGGAGTGTGAGAGCGATGACACCAAATGTAACACACCTGCTTCCCATTCACACCTGAGACCTTGTAACACTAACGAGTCACATGACAACGGGGAGGGAAAATGGCTAATTGGGCCCAATTTGGACATTTTCACTTAGGGGTGTGCTCACTTTTGTTGCCAGTGGTTTAGACATGAATGGCTGTGTGTTGAGTTATTTTGAGGGGACAGCAAATTTACACTGTTAAACAAGCTGTACCCTCACTACATTACATTGTAGCAAAGTGTCATTTCTTCAGTGTTGTCACATGAAAAGATATACTCAAACATTTACAAAAATGTGAGGGGTATACTCACTTTTGTGAGATACTGTACATACAGTGCATTCGGAAAGTATTTAGACTCCTGGACTTATTCCACATTGTTACTTTACAGCCTTATTCTAAAATGGATTACATAGTTTTTTCCCCCTCATCAATCTACACACAATACCCCATAATGAAAAAGCAAAAACAGGTTTAGAAACTTTTGCAAATTTATTAAATATAAGAAACTTAAAATATTACATTTACATAAGTATTCAGACCCTTTACTCAGTACTTTGTTGAAGCACTTTTTGCAGCGATTACAGCCTTGGGTATGACACTACAAGCTTGGCACACCTATATTTGGGGAATTTCTCCCATTCTTCTCTGCAGATCCTCTCAAGCTCTACAGATCCTCACCAAGGCAAAGGGTGCCTACTTTGAGGAATCTCAAATATATTTTGCTTTGTTTAACACTTTTTGGGTTACTACATGATTCCATATGTGTTATTTCAAAGTTTTGATGTCTTCACTATTATTCTACAATGTAGAAAATAGTAAAAATAAAAATAAAAACCCTTGAATGAGTAGGTGTGTGCAAACTTTTTACTGGTACTGTATGTATGTATGTATGTATGTATGTATGTACGTACAGTGGGGAAAAAAAGTATTTAGTCAGCCACCAATTGTGCAAGTTCTCCCACTTAAAAAGATGAGAGAGGCCTGTAATTTTCATCATAGGTACACGTCAACTATGACAGACAAAATGAGAAAAAAAATTCCAGAAAATTACATTGTAGGATTTTTTATGAATTTATTTGCAAATTATGGTGGAAAATAAGTATTTGGTCAATAACAAAAGTTTCTCAATACTTTGTTATATACCCTTTGTTGGCAATGACACAGGTCAAAAGTTTTCTGTAAGTCTTCACAAGGTTTTCACACACTGTTGCTGGTATTTTGGCCCATTCCTCCATGCAGATCTCCTCTAGAGCAGTGATGTTTTGGGGCTGTCGCTGGGCAACACGGACTTTCAACTCCCTCCAAAGATTTTCTATGGGGTTGAGATCTGGAGACTGGCTAGGCCACTCCAGGACCTTGAAATGCTTCTTACGAAGCCACTCCTTCGTTGCCCGGGCGGTGTGTTTGGGATCATTGTCATGCTGAAAGACCCAGCCACGTTTCATCTTCAATGCCCTTGCTGATGGAAGGAGGTTTTCACTCAAAATCTCACGATACATGGCCCCATTCATTCTTTCCTTTACACGGATCAGTCGTCCTGGTCCCTTTGCAGAAAAACGGCCCCAAAGCATGATGTTTCCACCCCCATGCTTCACAGTAGGTATGGTGTTCTTTGGATGCAACTCAGCATTCTTTGTCCTCCAAACACGACGAGTTGAGTTTTTACCAAAAAGTTATATTTTGGTTTCATCTGACCATATGACATTCTCCCAATCCTCTTCTGGATCATCCAAATGCACTCTCGCAAACTTCAGACGGGCCTGGACATGTACTGGCTTAAGCAGGGGGACAAGTCTGTCACTGCAGGATTTTGAGTCCCTGGCGGCGTAGTGTGTTACTGATGGTAGGCTTTGTTACTTTGGTCCCAGCTCTCTGCAGGTCATTCACTAGGTCCCCCCGTGTGGTTCTGGGATTTTTGCTCACTGTTCTTGTGATCATTTTGACCCCACGGGGTGAGATCTTGCGTGGAGCCCCAGATCGAGGGAGATTATAAGTGGTCTTGTATGTCTTCCATTTCCTAATAATTGCTCCCACAGTTGATTTCTTCAAACCAAGCTGCTTACCTATTGCAGATTCAGTCTTCCCAGCCTGGTGCAGGTCTACAATTTTGTTTCTGGTGTCTTTTGACAGCTCTTTGGTCTTGGCCATAGTGGAGTTTGGAGTGTGACTGTTTGAAGTTGTGGACAGGTGTCTTTTATACTGATAACAAGTTCAAAAAGGTGCCATTAATACAGGTAACGAGTGGAGGACAGAGGAGCCTCTTAAAGAAGAAGTTACAGGTCTGTGAGAGCCAGAAATCTTGCTTGTTTGTAGGTGACCAAATACTTATTTTCCACCATAATTTGCAAATAAATTCATAACAAATCCTACAATGTGATTTTCTGGATTTTTTTTTCTCAATTTGTCTGTCATAGTTGACGTGTACCTATGATGAAAATTAAAGGCCTCTCTCATCTTTTTAAGTGGGAGAACTTGCACAATGGGTGGCTGACTAAATACTTTTTTTCCCCACTGTATATATTATTTTAAAGTATTATTGTGGAGACTGGTCATTTGGCTGGCCAATTACCATCATCCAAAATTCTATGACCGTTACAGCCCTAGATGTAATTCAATTACACACAGAAACACACATGAATTCATGGGTTGCATGTTTCGTCACAATATTGTTTTGAACGTTCGTTTTGGAATGATGCCCGACTGAGCATTCTACTCAATGCATCATCAATGAGTGTATTACAGTGGCTTGGAAATAATATGACATTCAGAAGGAGGCAAATAATTAGGAGGAAAACCTTTTGTCATCATTTTGATATCACCGGATTGACTTTAGATGCAGTATAACGTTAGCTAGCTAGCTAAGCTTGAGGGGAGGCCACCGAATTTTAGCTAGCTAATGTTAGCATTGCTAGCTATTTTTGACAAACTTTGCTAGCTAATGACAACATTGCCATCTGGCTGAAGTAAAATTTGACAACATGATAATTCTGGCAAAGTGCTTTCCTACTAAATATTTGACTACTTTAGCAATGTCATCGTATTTCCAGGCTCTATGGTGTAATTTAGACAAAATAGTAGTTAGCCTCCATCCAGAATGACTGGGTTTATCACCACTTTAGGGCAACACTATGGCGCTGCCGGCAGAGGGCAGCTAGAGAAGGTTCATAACAATGGCATGACGCGGCCGAGTGAAGGAGGTGCAACCTATGAATAGTATGCATGTCAAATCTCATAGCTAATCCTATGAATTCCAGACATCCATGATGGCAGAATCATAATAACAATGAGCAAAGCCTGTGTTGGCCAGAGGTACAACAACGTCCAAAGTATGGTGACTGAAGCGCCAACTGAAAGGCTGCTATGTTGTCAAATTCACAGTGGAATATAAGGAGCCAGTCCACTCTACAACCTGAACAGTTACCAAAACCACAGGGAGTTACACCTGACCACTTGTAGACCACTTTCGGGTTGGTCAATAATCACTAAACATGGACCAACATGTGACTCAATCGATGGGGCTAGGGAAGAACCAGGTAGCATCAGCACTCTGGTGGAAACCATTGATCAAGGCAGCCTTTCTGTCAACCAAGCCATTTGTGAGGAACAATCTGTTTTACATTTACATTTTAGTCATTTAGCAGACGCTCTTATCCAGAGCGACTTACAGTTGAGTGCATACTTTTTTTTGTATACCGTTAAAATCTACAGTACAATAGGCCTACAATCGAGAGCAATGGGACGAAAATGGTCGTTGGAAAATGGCATGTTGAGTGGTGATTGTTATTAAAGCCAAACTACTGTCCACTAGAGGGAGTGTTTGCACGTGCTGTGGGTTAAGTAGGCTATAGAATGAATGATTCCCTGTTCCACATCCTCTCCTGAAGGAGATATTGGGATTACTCTATTCCATTATCACGTACATGACATCATCATCCCTGTGAAAATATTAATCTGTCTCTCTCAGCTCCAAGCATGTCATCATGACATCACTTGAACAGTGCTGAACATTCTCTCTCTGAATAGGAGGGAGACATACACCTGCAATAACTTTTCATTAAAAAAAGATGTTTTATGGTCACATACGCCAGACAGGTGCAGTGAAATGTGTTGTTTTATAGGGTCAGCCTGCCATAGTAGTATTGCGCCCCAGGAGCAAATCCTTGTTCAAGGGCACAGACAGATTTTTCACCTTGTCGGCTCAGGTATTTCGAACCAGTGACCTTTCTGTTACTGGCCCAACGCTCTAACCGCTAGGCCACCCATGAGGTAAGCAAGCAACATCATTTCATCTTCTCTCTCGCTCTCTCACACACAGACACAGTGACCTAACAGGCAGCCGCGGAACCCTCAGCTGACAGAGCTTTATCGAGACCACAGGGCCACCACACCGCTCCCAGCATGCATCAGCAAGATTCAGCTGCTTCCTGTCAGCAGCCCTCCTGTTGCACAGTGGGGGCCTTTACTTCTCACGACCCACTGTCCTACTGCTGGGTCAAAACAGACACCCTGCCCTAAACTATACTGTCTGACTGCTATAGCCCAATATTGTGAAAAGGTCCGGGAATTGTTATTTGTTAATGTTGTATGACAGTCATCACATATGTGCCTGTGTGCTGGATAGCCTATGTATTGTCATATGGGTTTGTTTGTGTCTGCACTAATGAGACTAGGTCCATGAGGAGCCTAGTCATGCTTACTGACAGTCGTTCATTTAAGCCTAAGCTTCCTGGGAGAGAGAGAGTGATAATCCTGTGCTGCAGACTTTGGAGGTTGGAAATAATTAGTTAATACCCATGCGTGGTCTAAAATTGTGATTTTCCAGTGTCTAACACACTTAGAGCAGTTAGGTTCTTACTGAAACAAAGAGGGATTAAGAGTAGGATAACTCAAAATTGCTGACCTACAGTGCATTCGGAAAGTATTCAGACCCCTTCACTTTTTCCACATTTTGTTACGTTACAGCCTTATTCTAAAATTGATAAAAAATATATTGTTCTCCTCATCAACCTACACACACAATACCCCAGAATGACAAAGCGAAAACAGGCTTTTGGAATCTTTGCAAAAAACAGAAATACCTTATTTACATAGGTATTCAGACCCTTTGAATGAGACTTGAGCTCCGGTGCATCCTGTTTCCATTGATCATCCTTGAGATGTTTCTACAACTTGATTGGACATGATGGTACATTCAATTGATTGGACCTGATTTGGAAGGGCACACACCTGTCTCTATAAGGTCCCACAGTTGACAGTGCATGTCAGAGCAAAAACCAAGCCATGAGGTCGAAGGAATTGTCCATAGAGCTCCGAGACAGGATTGTGTTGAGGCACAGATCTGGGGAAGGGTACCAAAACATTCTGCAGCATTGAAGGTCCCCAAGAACACAGTGGCCTCCATCATTCATAAATGGAAGAAGTTTGGAACCACCAAGACTCTTCCTAGAGCTGGCCGCCCGGCCAAACTGAGCAATCAGGGGAGAAGGGCCTTGGTCAGGGAGGTGACCAAGAACCCGATGGTCACTGTGACAGAGCTCTAGAGTTCCTCTGTGGAGATGGGAGAACCTTCCAGAAGGCCAACCATCTCTGCAGCACTCCACCAAATCAGGCCTTTATGGTAGAATGGCCAGACAGAAGCCACTCCTCAGTAAAAGGCACGACAGCCCGCTTGGAGTTTGCCAAAATGCACTTTAAAGACTCTCAGACCATGAGAAACAAGATTCCTTGGTCTGATGAAACCAATACTTTTTGGCCTGAGGAAACCTGGCACCATCTCTACGGTGAAGCATGGTGGTGGCAGCATCATGCTGTGGGGATGTTTTTCAGCGGCAGGGACTGGGAGACTAGTCAGGATTAACAGAGCAAAGTACAGAGAGATCCTTGATGAAAACCAGCTCCAGAGCGGTCATGACCTCAGACTGGGGTGAAGGTTCACCTTCCAACAGGACAACGACCCTAAGCACACAGCCAAGACAACGCAGGAGTGGCTTCGGAACTAGTCTCGGAATGTCCTTGAGTGGCCCTGCCAGAGCCCGGACATCTCTGGAGAGACCTGAAAATAGCTGTGCAGCTACACTCCCCATTCAACCTGACAGAGCTTGAGAGGATCTGCTGAGAAGAATGGGAGAAACTCCCCAAATACAGATGTGCCAAGCTTGTAGCGTCATACCCAGGAGAAGACTTGAGGCTGTAATCGCTGCCAATGGTGCTTCAACAAAGTACTGAGTAAATGGTCTGAATACTTATGTAAATGCGATATTTCCCCCCCCCCCCCAAAATGGTTTTGCAAACATTAAAAAAAAACTGTTTTTGCTTTGTCATTATGGGGTATTGTGTGTAGATTGATGAGGGAAAACAACTATTTAATCAATTTTAGAATAAGGCTGTAACGTAAAAAATGTGGAAAACGTGAAGGGGTCTGAATACTTTCCAAATGCACTGCATTAGTAGCCTAACCTACATAGGCGGTCAATGGCAGTGACAAATGCTTGCCAACCCTATAGGCCTCTGTAAACCATTTCAAATGGAGTGGAAACCCATTTACAACTTACTGGATTCCCTATAGTAGTCTAAATGATTGACAGCTCCCCGTAGACATCACCATTACGCTGTCATGTAGTGTGAACGCTCGCTGACTGCATAGGAGAGAGGACTTCCTGTGAGCGCCATCGTGCATCAGCCCTCTAATGGAAATCATTAATGGAAACTGACCAGTCCAGTATGACACCCATCAGAGAGATCAAGGAGGACCCACACACATACCGAGAGATAACTGGCAGGCCCGGCGCCACGAGGGTGCAAAAGTGGGCAATGCCCCCTTAGTTGGAATATTGTGCCCCCTCAGTTTTGTATCCCTATTCTGTCCCACAATCTGCCCCCTCCGTCATGCCCAACCGATTTGTTGTGTATGCTTCATTCATGCAACTCCCTTGCACGCATCATACGTACATCATACACATTTTACCAGTTGAAAAACAACTTTTGATTGGCCTTCACGGTAGAAGGGCGGGGTCAATTTGACCGTTTAGGTTTACTTTCAAAGTTATGTAGTACGAAAAATAAATGTTTCACCATGCAGCTGGATAGAATGTAGCTAATGTTAACAGTTAGGTAGGTAGCTGATAGCATGATGGATATTAGAAAGTGGCTTCGCCAGGGCACAACGGCAGCATCGGATGAAAGCGTAGGGGAGGGGGAGAAGCCTGCCACAGAGGCCAAGGCCGCCGAGCCCAGCAGCAAAGGCACCTGCGCAACTGTCTTGCAGCCTGGTGACATAGGAGGTAACCAACCCGAGGAGGGGCCTGCAGCCGCCAAGACCGAACCTAGCAGCAGCAACGCCAGGATATTACAAGCACCGACACCTCCGTTAGTGCCTGATGACCTCGGTGATGAGGAGCCAGCGCAGGTTTGTCTGGGAAATTACCCAACCAGCCTGTACTGTGGGAGAAAATGTGCATTTTGTAGCGCGTGGTTCAAAGTCAGAGAGTGGCTGGAATATTCCTGCAAGGCAAATGCAGCTTTCTGCTATCCTTGTGGAAAATGTAACATTGGCTCCAATGCTAACGCCGATAAGGAATTCACCCAAACTGGATATAATAACTGGCGACATGCCATTGAGAGCAACTAGGGACTGGGGAGGCATGCATCAAGCAAAGAACATTTGAAATGCATGGTACTTTGGACAGAAAGACAAGCAAGGAATGCACAGGGAGCGGAGATCAACACTTCTGAATTCTGCACAGCTTGCAAGAAATCGTATGTATTTGTCATCGATTGTGGACATTGTGGAAATTCTCACTGTCAACAAGCTTCCTCTCAGGGGAAACTTTGGATGCAAGAGGGGAGAGAGGCTACTCCTGGCGATGTTAGATTATACGCTCAGGAAAGACAAGGAACTTGCTAGTGCCTTAAGCACAATTCCCAGCAATGCCAAATACACATCTCAATAATTGGGCTCATGATGAGGTAGTCACAGAGGAAATTGTAAAGGAAGTAGGTGATTCATGGTACACACTTAAGATGGATGGGACTGAAGACCCAACCGGGTGGGAGAACATTTCAATTGTACTCCGTTACGTGGGCAAAAACAATTGTGTTTGTGAGCGGCTACTGTCAATGGCAACGAGTAAAGAATGTGATGCTTTATCGCTGACTAACTTGGTCCTGTCAGAGCTAACAAATGTTGGCCTTAGCACCGAGAAGATTCTTAGTCAATGTAATGATGGGACCATTGTGATGTCTGGTAAAAATGGGGGCATGCAAAAGGTAGTGCAGGACAAGCTGAATCGGGAAGTGCCGTATGTGCATTGCTTTAACCACCAGCTGCATTTAGTCATAGTGTACGCAGTGAGGGAAAACAGTATTTGATTTTGTACGTTTGCCCACTGACAAAGAAATGATCAGTCTATAATATTAATAGTAGGTTTATTTGAACAGTGAGAGACAGAATAACAAAAAAATCCAGAAAAACACAATGTTATAAATTGATTTGCATTTTAATGAGGGAAATAGGTATTTGACCCCCTCTCAATCAGAAAGATTTCTGGCTCCCAGGTGTCTTTTATACAGGTAACGAGCTGAGATTAGGAGCACACTCTTAAAGGGAGTGCTCCTAATCTCAGTTTGTTACCTGTATAAAAGACACCTGTCCACAGAAGCAATCAATCAATCAGATTCCAAACTCTCCACCATGGCCAAGACCAAAGAGCTCTCCAAGGATGTCAGGGACAAGATTGTAGACCTACACAAGGCTGGAATGGGCTACAAGACCATCGGCCAAGCAGCTTGGTGAGAAGGTGACAACAGTTGGTGTGATTATTCGCAAATGGAAGAAACACAAAATAACTGTCCATCTCCCTCGGCCTGGGGCTCCATGCAAGATCTCACCTCGTGGAGTTGCAATGATCATGAGAACGGTGAGGAAAGCCCAGAACTACACGGGAGGATCTTGTCAATAATCTCAAGGCAGCTGGGACCATAGTCACCAAGAAAACAATTGGTAACACACTACGCCGTGAAGGACTGAAAACCTGTAGCGCCCGCAAGGTCCCCTGCTCAAGAAAGCACATATACATGGCCCGTCTGAAGTTTGCCAATGAACATCTGAATGATTCAGAGGAGAACTGGGTGAAAGTGTTGTGGTCAGATGAGACCAAAATGGAGCTCTTTGGCATCAACTCAACTCGCCGTGTTTGGAGGAGGAGGAATGCTGCCTATGACCCCAAGAACACCATCCCCACCGTCAAACATAGAAAACATTATGCTTTGGGGGTGTTTTTCTGCTAAGGGGACAGGACAACTTCACCGCATCAAAGGGACGATGGACAGGGCCATGTACTGTCAAATCTTGGGTGAGAACCTCCTTCCCTCAGCCAGGACATTGAAAATGGGTCGTGGATGGGTATTCCAGCATGACAATGACCCAAAACACACGGCCAAGGCAACAAAGGAGTGGCTCAAGAAGAAGCACATTAAGGTCCTGGAGTGGCCTAGCCAGTCTCCAGACCTTAATCCCATAGAAAATCTGTGGAGGGAGCTAAAGGTTCGAGTTGCCAAACGTCAGCCTCGAAACCTTAATGACTTGGAGAAGATCTGCAAAGAGGAGTGGGACAAAAATCCATTTACATTACATTTACATTTAAGTCATTTAGCAGACGCTCTTATCCAGAGCGACTTAGTTAGTGAGTGCATACATTTTCATACTGGCCCTCCTGAGATGTGTGCAAACCTGGTCTCCAACTACAAGAAACGTCTGACCTCTGTGATTGCCAACAAGGGTTTGCCACCAAGTACTAAGTCATGTTTTGCAGAGGGGTCAAATACTTATTTCCCTCATTAAAAGGCAAATCAATTTATAACATTTTTGACATGCGTTTTTCTGGATTTTTTGTTGTTATTCTATCTCTCACTGTTCAAATAAACATACCATTAAAATTATAGACTGATCATGTCTTTGTCAGTGGGCAAACGTACAAAATCAGCAGGGGATGAAATACTTTTTCCCCCCTCACGCTATGTCCTCTGAGGGTGCATTGGATGACTTTTTTAATGTGTGTAATTCCCTTTACAAGTTTCTCAGGAAACCAACTGTGGCTGCGCAATTTACGGGAGAGAAACTGAAACGGCTGCTTGAGCAGCGATGGACTGGTCATCTAGCCACGGTGAGTGTCATTATAAAATCTCTGGACAGCATCATCCACCTGCTCAGAGAAATTGAGAGTACCTGCACCTACGGTACAGAGGTGCGACTTGAAGCTGTGGGCCTATTGAAAGCTGTTTCCAAGACGAGCTTCAGATTCATTGCCATCATGGTCCTCAAAGTCCTCAGCCTGCTCGACCCCCCCCCCCCCCCCCCAACAAGTTACTTCAGGCTGAAGCAACTGATCTGTACACTGGCATCCGAGTCGTCCGCAGCGCCCACAATTGCATGGAAAAACTGCGACGTGACAGTGAGTCTGATGAGTTATGGGAGAAATACAAGCACACGGACACCCCCGCTCCAAGCACACGGACACCCCCGCTCCAAGCACACGGACACCCCCGCTCCAAGCACACGGCAAAGAGTGGTGAGTAGTAATCTGAATGAATATGTGGTGGAAACAACAAAATGGGCCAGCAAGACGAGGATAATGAGAGGGAGTGCAAAAGACTGTTTTTCAGCACTCTGGATGCTGTACTGGGAGAAATATCAGCAAGATTTAACGAACAAAACAGCCAACCTGTTGAGGCCCTGTGTGCCTTGCACCCAGAGAATGAAACCTTTATGGATGTGGAAAAGGCGAAACCACTGCTGGACTTAATCTCAGGAGACTTTGTGGAAGCTGAGTTTACTGTCGCATGCCAAATTCTAGACTGAAATCGCCCGATCTGGAGAAGAAAAATGGACTACGCAGAGCATTTTGGATACATACTCCAGGCCTCTAACAGCAATGTCTACTGTAATAATGGCATTGAAGCTGGGATTAACATTTGGAGCATCCACGGCAACTTGCGAGAACTCTTTTTCAACATTGAAAAACGTATTCAGTGAGCACAGACAGAGCATGTTGCACAGGAGGAAAGCGCAGCTGATTCAACTGGCATTTGAGAGGGATCTTACAAGCAAATTCCGTGGGGAGTGGAAGGAGAGACTGCTGAGGAGGTTCAACACAGCGTCAAGGCGGCTGCAACTCTTTTGAATCTGGGTAAGAACAGGCAGCCTGGCTGGGCTTGTATTATTTTGTTATTTGCTAGCTTTTGGAAATGCGTGGCAAATGTCAGAAATAGGCGTAGATGTGATTTTCTTTATTGCCGTTGCTGCCAAGTCTACTGCTTGATTTCTGTGATGTGATTGGAAATGTTTGGTTTATAATGTAATCGGATTGTTTTTAATGTTGTTTTATATGGTAGAAGAGGTGCTTTGCATTACATTGATGAGGGTGGGCAGACCTTGACCAATGGTTGAGTAACGATGTAGCTATAGTGTTGCCATAAACAACTCGTTGCTATGGAATACTAATTTCTCTGTTATCATACGCAGCGTAGTATGGCACTCTTCTGGGAAGAAAGCTTGGTAGCTGCGTCCAAGCTGCATTGTACCGATAAGTCGTGGTCGTGCATTGTACATTATTGTTTGCTTTCCGCGATTGGAAATGCATTGTATTGGCATGGGGAAGTGTTATTACGGTAGTTAGCAACTGTTTTGCATTGCATTGATGGGTATTGTGCATGTAGCTGTGTAGCGTTGTCATAACTTGCAATTTCTCAAGCCGGTTATGAATTGTCCATGTTTGTACAGTGGTGCAGTAGCCTGTATTCTTGCGGCAAGACAGCCGTGCGTGGCTGCAAATACATTGTGTGTAATTGTACTATCGATTATTATCAATCTTGTGTTATCAGCAAGCGTAAATAGTTGTGTCCCCTTAGTCATTTCTGATGCCCCCTTGCGGAGTTAATCCTGCCGCTGGGCCTGATAACTGGGATATGTAAAAAGGTCAGATGACAAAGCCTTGAGGCATGTTGATACTTCATATTCCTATTAATATTTGATGATAGTCATTAAATCATTCATAACAGGCCTTTAGGGAAAATATCAGACTTAAGTCTTGATAGGAAAAAAGCATAATTGTTTCCCATTTGACAGTTGTCTAAATGAAACTTTACATCACTATAAAAAATATTGAGCTGGTCGAATAAGCCTTCTTATCCCCAACATAAACTGCAGTCAAGTCTTTGAGCACAGGTCACTTTCTGGTCAAAAAAGGTGCTGCATCTTACCTGAAGTTCACACCAGGCAACTTCCACCCATGTGTCGGTATCCAGACCTTTATAGACAGTCTTGAAGGACCCTCTCCCGAGCTCGATATCAAACTTGAGAAACCGTCCCCCAGGGGATGTGGCAACAGCTTTCATTTCGGCCTCTTCCTCGTTCTCCTCGCTGGCTGTTCTGACAGCGTTTTTACTGCCGTCGGTGGATGCAACATTCAATTTATCCCCAGCTTTCTCCTTCTCATCAGCGCTGGCGCTCTCTGTTGCGCTGTCTTTCTGCCCCCCTTGACTCTCGGTGCTGGAGCCCTCCTGTGGCCCCGACTGAGCCCCCCGTGTCCTGTCAACTATTGTGCGCAGGTTTATGTTGAGGATTTTACTCCTGTTGTCACATTCTGGCACCTCAAAGGCCTGTTCATCCGAGTCCGAGAACCACAAACTTCTCCTGATGAATCTTTGACGTACGATCCGCTGATAATTCGATGGAGGATACAAACTAGGGTCGCTCCCACCTCTCACGACCGTCGAAGTGGCCATATTATTGACGTTTCCGTCGCTGATGGTCTCATAAATATTTATGTTGAGATCACATTGTGAATTGGGAACAGATGGATATTTAAATCCATCGGTCTCGGCACCCGATTCCATGGCGATTTAACTGTTGAATCACTGAAGTTTCCAGATGATGATTGCCATATGGTTGTTCCCGACACTAAGGCGGAGTGGGGACGGAAGACCTGCAGCGCCCTCCCGGTGACGCAATTCTCCAGCATGGGGGTATCAAATGGTACGATGTCAGTCTGCACATCCAATCTAAACGAAAGCAAAGAGTGTTAAAAGATTTAAAAGGCGTGGATGAAAGCATTGGCATGGACTTGCAAGTTGTATTTCGCAACATATATGGTATATAACGTTAGCTAGCTAAACCAGCTTGGTTTCTGCTTCTTGTCATAACAAGCAAAGCTAGCAAGCAAAGTTGATGAGAAATTAAAATGCCAGAGGAAGAACGACTGGAAAAACAAATGGTTATTACCACTAAAAACTAGCTGAATAGGTGTAGCCTGTTTGCTAGTTATTTAGCTAATTAACGTAACCGTCAGCATTTAGGTACTGATTTAGCAGGTGCACATCATTTATTGTCGAGCAGTAGCTAATGATAACCTTAACAGTTTTCTAGCTATATATATATTTTTTTTTTAGTCATTTAGCAGACGCTCTTATCCAGAGCGATTTACAGTTAGTGAATACATTATTTATTTTTATACTGGCCCCCCATGGGAATCGAACCCACAACCCTGGCGTTGCAGGATTCACATCAGCGAGGGCTTGTTAATGAAGTGACAACTTTATCTAGCTACCCGTTAAAAAAAAAGCTAATAACTAGCTTCCACTCCAATAATTCAAAGATATTCGTGGTAGCTTGTCTCTAGCTGCTTAGTTAAGTACGTTTGAGCAGGCGAATATGCTGGGTTTTGTCTGGGGATACAGCTTGTCAAAGTTGGTTTAGGAGAATTACACACTACGCAGCAGGTTAGGATAATTAGATTAAAGTTAGGCTAGGGTTAGCTAAAATGCAAACTGTATCCCATCTAGAAATGACCGGAAGCTGGCTGATGCTAACTAGCCGACTGATGATGACGCTAGCTCCGACAAACAACGAGACAGCAAAATGAGTGCAGCTTTTTATCTATCGGTCTAAACATTATTGCTTATTTTCGCGCCATACGTCCGAGCTGTAGCTAATTAATCATAAACGAGAAAACTGTTGCAATTTCGGACGGACTATCACCAACCTTGCATCCCTCGCCTGCGTCTTATATAGCCCTGCTGCCGCCAAATGACGAGCGGCAGTCTCATCCGATGCGGTGGAGCTTTCCGCAGGTTACCGGCGCGAGTGTGTCTCTGTCATACGGCTTTCAGAGGCGATGAATCTTCAACGTAGTGTTGTAATGCTGATTGAATGTCCATATTGTCCGGGTGAATATGCTCAGCATTAAATTGACAACGTTAATAGCTCGCCGATGTTTCCCATCGCACAATAAATCAGCAACAATAAATGCAACTGCGAGGTCCCCGTTTTTACACATTGATTCCACGCCCCTAGTAACGACTGGACCTCCTGCTATGTGACAACAGAGGAGGGGAGGCGTGTTGACCCAGCCCATTTGCTTGGCCCACCAGTGAAATAATATACTGTATCCCGAAAAGACACAAGAAATAGGCATATAGGCTATGGCAGTTGTTCAAAACCCTAGGCTAGGCTACTTCTTATTTATTTTGAGCTGTATGGCACAGGGCTATGCATTTTATTGAAGACAGCTAAATTAACTATTTCCCATGACTAGGCCCTTCTCTCTCTCTCTCTCTCTCAATTCAATTCAATTCAATTCAATGTCAATGTAAGTGCTTTATTGGCATGGAAAACGTATGTTAACATTGCCAAAGCAAGTGAAGTAGATAGAAACAAAAGTAAAATAAACAATAAATATTAACAGTAAACATTACACTCAGAAGTTCCAAAAGAATAAAGACATTTCAAATGTCATATTATGTATATATACAGTGTTGTAACAATGTGCAAATAGTTAAAGTACAAATGGGAAAATAAATAAACATAAATATGGGTTGTATTTCCAGTTTTGTTTGTTCTTCACTGGTTGCCCTTTTCTTGTGGCAACAGGTCACAAATCTTGCTGCTGTGATGGCACACTGTGGTATTTCACCCAGTAGATAAGGGAGTTTATCAAAATTGGGTTTGTTTTCGAATTCTTTGTGGATCTCTGTAATCTGAGGGAAATATGTGTCTCTAATATGGTCGTACATTTGGCAGGATGTTAGGAAGTGCAGCTCAGTTTCCACCTCGTTTTGTGGGCAGTGTGCACATAGCCTGTCTTCTCTTGAGAACCAGGTCTGCCTACGGCAGCCTTTCTCAATAGCAAGGCTATGCTCAATGAGTCTGTACATAGTCAAAGATTTCCTTAAGTTTGGGTCAGTCACAGTGGTCAGGTATTCTGCCACTGTGTACTCTCTGTTTAGGGCCAAATAGCATTCTAGTTTGTTAATTCTTTCCAATGTGTCAAGTAATTCTCTTATTGTTTTCTCATGATTTGGTTGGGTCTAATTGTGTTGTTGTCCTGGGGCTCTGTGGGGTCTGTTTGTGTTTGTGAACAGAGCCCCAGGACCAGCTTACTTAGGGGACTCTTCTCCAAGTTCATCTCTCTGTAGGTGATGGCTTTGTTATGGAAGGTTTGGGAATCGCTTCCTTTTAAGTGGTTATAGAATTAAACAGCTCTTTTCTGGATTTTGATAATTAGAGGGTATCATGTTTTTCATGTTTTTCGTTGTACACAGACAATATTTTTGCTGAATTCTGCATGCAGAGTCTCAATTTGGTGTTTGTCCCATTTTGTGAATTCTTGGTTGGTGAGAGGACACTAGACCTCACAACCATAAAGGGCAATGGGTTCTATAAGGCACTGCATCGCAGTGCTAGCTGTGCCACTAGAGATCCTGGTTCGAATCCAGGCTCTGTCGTAGCCGGCCGCGACTGGGAGACCCATGGGGCGGCACACAATTGGCCCAGCGTCGTCCAGGGTAGGGGAGGGAATGGCCGGCAGGGATGTAGCTCAGTTGGTAGAGCATGGCGTTTGCAACGCCAGGGTTGTGGGTTCGATTCCCACGGGGGGCCAGTATGAAAAATAAAAAAATAATGTATGCACTCACTAACTGTAAGTCGCTCTGGATAAGAACGTTTGCTAAATGACTCAAATGTAAAAAAATGTAATAACTGATTCAAGTTGAATTTTATGTTCCTTTTGATGGCATAGAAGGCCCTTCTTACCTTGTCTCTCAGATCGTTCACAGCTTTGTGGAAGTTACCTGTGGCGCTGATGTTTAGGCCGAGGTATGTATAGTTTTTTGTGTGCTCTAGGGTAACGGTGTCTAGATGGAATTTGTATTTGTGGTCCTGGCAACTGGACCTTTTTTGGAACACCATTATTTTTGTCTTACTGAGATTCACTGTCAGGGCCCAGGTCTGACAGAATCTGTGCAGAAGATCTAGGTGCTGCTGTAGGCCCTCCTTGGTTGGTGACAGAAGCACCAGATCATCAGCAAACAGTAGACATTTGACTTCAGATTCTAGTAGGGTGAGGCCGGGTGCTGCAGACTGTTCTAGTGCCCTTGCCAATTCGTTGATATATATGTTGAAGAGGGTGGGGCTTAAACTGCATCCCTGTCTCACTCACTCTTTCTCTCTCTCTGTGTGTGTGTGGAACTGTGAATAGGATTAATTATGAAATATGATTACCCTAATGCATATAAGTGTTGTTATTTTGTTAAATTGTGAGTCCCTCCCTGCATCAAAATAAAATTAAATGTAGACCTAATCGTTGCTTGGGCTTGGCTCAAGATAACTACGAAGCAAATAGGCTACTGTAGATCGATACGTCACCACCACTCACAAGGGACCCTCAAACTCTATAGGGGGAAAGATATATAGGGATACACACCCCAGCCACAAGCTGTTCTCTCCCTTACCATCGGACAGATGGGATCAAAGCATGAGGTCTGATATCAACAGGCTCAGAGACAGATTCTATCATTTGAACTGGAATGTCCACATGCTCTGATTCTCCACTACCGGTCCAAAACTCTGTATTATAGTTATGCTAAAATATTTCTTATTTTCTACTGAGCCATTTACTTTGTGTTCAAATTCTTATATTTTATTCTTATCATTGTTGCATTGTCGAGAAGGAACCTGCAAGTAAGCATTTAGTTGGAGGATGTATAGGCCCCGTGTAGCTCAGTTGGTAGAGCATGGCGTTTGCAACGCCAGGGTTGTGGGTTCGTTTCCCATGGGGGGCCAGTATGAAAAAATGTATGCACTCACTAACTGTAAGTCGCTCTGGATAAGAGCGTCTGCTAAATGACTAAAATGTATACCATGCATATCCCGTATATACGACTAATAAAACTTGAAACTCACGGCTGGAAATATAACAAACAAGAGAGGATCAAACCGACATTTACATATTGAATATGCATATTTGAGAAGAAACATGGCTGAAAACAGTCTTCTGTGAACTTTCCTAGGCAGTCTTTACGTGATCTACTCTACTGGACATGGAAGCGACCAGAGGGAGGCATACTTTCCACTGAACCCTACACTATAAAAACAAGACCTGCAAGGGTGCACCCTGGGCAAGAATTTCTGTAGGTCTATAATGGCCAAACATAACAAAACAAATGGGTGCATTTATCATTGTACATTTTAGGTGGTGTCATCATCATTCATTTTATATAATAATGTTTGTTTTTATGTTAACTGCTGCTATTGAAATCATTAAACAAACTGCAAAAAGACAATCCACTCATAGAACTCTCTCATTGAGAGTTAAATTGCACTGATTCAAGTTACCCTATTGCGATCGATATGATTAATGAATAATTTAATATAATTAATTTGCTACTCTAACCAAGATGGCATAAATATTTATGTTTGTATAATTTATTGATATATTGATTTGCTACTC